CCAGACAGGCCCACAGAATATTGTTTTTTGTAGAACATGTGCTGATTGAGAAAAACAAAAATGCATAAAAATAATAAGAATGGACCACACTGAAGCAGTAACACTTTGCAAAGATGTTTCTCATTTCAAATGGATTGCAGAAGGTAACCCATGTGGTGAAGATTTTAGCCTTCTGTTACTTGGGGATTTTCTGAAAAGTATTTTTTACCAAAAGCCCAAACTAGATCTATAATCTCTCCTAAAGTCTGCAATACATTCCGACTTATGTGCCTAGTATATTTGTCACGGGTTTAGGGATTTTGTTTCTCTCTTTTTTTTCACACTGTGGCTTTAAATGATGCCAGGAAGGAATTATGGAGAAAAACCAGTGCTGTTCGGGATCAAAATGAATTCAGGAAAATAAAATCTATTATTGCTACAGCAAAAATCAAATCCATTTTACATAGGTCTGGACTGGAGAAGAACTGGATCAAAGAGGGGAAGTTAAAAAAGTATATTTTAGTTTTACTTGAGAGTTGAATGTTGAAAAGTGCTCAGAGTAGCAATGCACATATGTTCCCGGGTAATCCCATTTAAGTCACAAATATAACTTTCAGGTACAGATTGTTTGTTTCCTCTTTAATGTCTCGACTTTTATAGGGTTTCAGAGGATTCAAAGAAGCCATTAAATCCTTACCATATTTAACTTGGCAATATGCAGAATACAAAGAAAGGATTTGTTTAACAAACTTTGACAGGCATGGCATATCAGCCAATTTTTTTGATATACACAACATTTCCATAGTCTGTTTTGTGACAAATGTTGGAGATATATTCTAAATTTAAAATTACGGTGATTGCTACAAGATTCATCTTCACCAAAGGGATAGGATCCTGTCAGAGCAAGTGGAAAACACGCAGTCAGCCGAGTGTAATACCTAAGTACCTCCTGTCTGAGCATCATGAGCCTAAGAGTGACATGCAGTCCCTGTCCCCATTCCTTGCCCTCCCATTTCTGAAGGCCTCCTCCTCAGGGTCTGCAATGGAATAGGATGAGTACTCTGCATGGCATCATTTTGCTCCCTCACCCTCACTGCAGTTCCCTTTTACAACGAACCAGCTTACGGACTTCACCCATCAGACCTCTGTTTCACTGTTCCAAGTGCCTCCTAGGGAGGTAAATGAAGGAAAGCTCAGCAGACCATGGCTGTCAGCATGCTCTGTGAAGGTTTACTCACACCTGTGCCAGCCTGGACTACATTTCTCCTTGTGAGTGGCAATGGGGATCCAAGTCAACCCACCCATGCCCTGCTTCTGCCTGTTTACTACTCACTGCCAAAAGACCTTACATCACACCAGGCCAAAAGTGCATGTATTTGTAACCCACCAAAACCCCCAGTTCTGCCCCAAAACCTTGTCTAGTCAAAAGAAGGGAAGGGAGTGATTTTCAGCACTTTGAACTCTTTAGAGGGGAGAAACTACTGCACTGGAAATGTTTCCCAACTACATATGAAATATCAAACAATGAATTATTTTATATATAGATTTCTTGGCTCTGGACATTTTCCATGCAGTGATTGTGGTGTTTGCATTTCACAAAGTCATATATATTTTGAAATACATTTCAGAAAATGAACTTGGCTGGTTTTCAGGTCACAAGAGAAATTTCTTGCCTTTTCTGGGTATTCTCTGTTTAGCAAGAATGCACTTAGCATAGAGGATAAATGATGATAGCCCACGGGAGTCAGTGCCATATTGTGCAACTCACACAAACACCCATGGGCTTGCAGAGGAGAGCTCTGTTCGTTCAAGAATAAGATCTGGTACTTCTCATAATGGGAGGTCATATTACCTTAAAATGCCTCTGCCCTGGAGGTCTGCCTGAGGAATAACATCTGTTCCCATAACAACTGCCTTTCCAACAGGAGAGATGGGCTCCATGTCATGACAAAACAAAGACAAAATCCACAGGCAGTTCTGTACCCAGGGAGCAAGTGGCCACAATGAGAAAGAGAAACCTCATTACGGACCTCATTCAAACCCTGCCGGAGCCAACAGGAAAGAGCCCAGCATATTTCAGGGGGTCTTGGGTTAGGGAGCATGGGTACCCTGTCTCTGCTAATATAATGGTAGTACTATCAGCAGCAATGATATATGCCAGTTGAAATCAAAGGTTTCTTCAGCCCTATACTTTCTCATTAACACACACATGGTTCACTTTGCAATCATATTGATGCAAGCAAAAGAGGATTTTACTGGAGCAAGTGATAGCAGGTATGTTTCTCCATACCTAAGAAAGCTGTGTCAATGCAATTTGCAGTCAAGAACTATGAGCCTTCTCATGGCAGGAAAGTTTTGTGCAAATAGAGATGACTGGGAAAGGGACTTCTCTTATTTGCTTCCATTTGAAACAACACAGTGAAATCCTATTCCTAACAAATAAAATTAGCTTTTAGCTTTTATTCATCTCCTTGCATCCCAGATAATAAAATCAGGGGAATTTACACTGAATTACCAATATTTCCACATAACTGGGTAAAAAAAATCAGCAGAAAAGACAAGAATAAATTTAGCTGGGAGAGGGTAATTTGGATTCCCAACAAGTTTCAAGACTTCAAAATTAATTTTAGTTCTTCAGCAGAATGAAAACAAAACCTCTGAACATTTTGTCAAAATGAAATCATAGAGAAACACTAATTTTTATTTTTTTTATCATAAAGTACATTTTTTTCAACTCTGATTCTCTCTCACTATTTTCCCTTCTTGCTTCCTCTCTCACTCTCTGTCACCAGAGGTAGCTGCAGAGCCCTGGATCACAAACTCTTTTCAGCTGAAATTTTTCTGAAATCCATACATCTCTGTGAGTTATTTTCTCTTTTCATCAAAAATGCATTCTGTTAAGAATGCTCATAAACAACTCTGCTTGGGAGAAGTTCTTAGCTTGTCCCAAAAAATTGATATCTTACACATCTAACTGGATCACCAGCTGTTCGACTGTGAGGCTTTGGGTGAAAAGAACACAGTGAATTGCTGAACTGACAGTCCTATATATTAAAGATGTCTGTTCTGTCTACTTTTTGCACAGAGCATAAATTCCGTTTTATTCTATTCAGCCTATTCTTACTGTACAAAGCATATATTTAATTAAAGCATTCCTCCTCACAGTTTTGTTCTCTTGAACCTAATCCCAAGGATTTTAGGGATATACCTGTGAATACATAGTAGAAAAAAAAATGTCTGTCTAGTCTTATGTTCCTCTATTTATCCATGTGTTCACTTCAACATGTAATTGGCAAATAAATCTTAGTTGTTTTTAAAAGCATAGGCAAATGTATAAGCCTCACCTTCTGCCAGTTATATTTCTTTAAGTATAAATCAAAAGATTAGAAAGTTGCCTCAGACAGAAAACCTTTACTCTCGTGTAGCATTTTGACTTTTCTACAGAGACAGACTTGCTTGTTTTTCTTACAGGTCAGAAGATTTTTTGCTGTTGTGCTGACATTTTGCATCATCTTCCTTTGCATCTGAAAGAAAATATGCAGTGCTAAAATGACAGTCAAAATGCATTGCTCCATTTAAGTTTCATGGATTGTATATGTCTGTGCATCAGCAGGGTAGTCACAGGGGTCAGAGGAGGATTTGTTATTCCCTGCTGTATAAAGGAGCCAAACATAACTGAATTTTTTTCTTCCTTTGATTGCACCACCACTTTTAGAATCACTGTCTTAAAGAAGTGATGCCTTATGGGTGGGGAAAGATGGAGAATATTCCAATTAGAAACAACCTAACTTCTCTGTCACATCTGGCCTTCATGCCTCAATAATCCCTTGAGCACAGCTCATAAATAATGAGTGCTCAGAGACTGACTGTACAATTCTAGTGCATTCTATTGACTTCCAGGGGATGCACAAAAGGACAGTACATATCCTGAAGGCAAAAGCACGTGTGGTTTTCTTGGTCTTCTAACAAATGCATATTGCTAGTAGTTTAATTGCTACTTATTGAGTACTGCCAGTAGGCTATACAGGGCAGAGAAAGAATTGCTGTGTATAAACAGAACTGATTTTTATGTGTTTCTTTATCATTACCCCGCTATGCATTTCAGACCTTTTGTCATAGCTTTATGTGATACAGAATAAAAATATTGTGATTTTTAAAAAGTGAGAAGATATAAGCAAGCAAACATCAACAGAATAATAAATCATGATTTAAAAAAAAAATCAAATAAAAATCAACCCTTTTTTCAGGTGCAAATAGTCAAAAGGTGTAAAAAATAACTTTAAAGGAAAACATAAAAATAAAAGTTGTATACATCTAACTAGATAGACAGATGTTCAGCTGAGGTGCGTTTACAAATTCTATTTACTTCAACAGACCTAACCTTTTTTTGTTTATTGCCAGATTAATAACTTTAGTTTGATGCAGTGCCAAAATCTTTGTGTTGATAAAAAAATAACTGCAGTGTAAGAAAATGAGAGGGAGACATGCCACAAACCTGTTTCATAAATCTAACAGAAGCATACCCAGGTGGAACATGAAGGAAAGATGGAATCATAAGTCACCTTCATGTGATCTGGCTGATGGTAAATAACATTTTCACTTCAGATTACAAGAATGGCATACCTTCAGGACCAGAATTTTTGGAGTAGGGTTTGAAATGATCAAAGTGAACTAATTTATTAGTAGGAAAGAAATCAATATGCAGATCTAGTTCCAAAATTTTCAAGTCAATATTAATTTTATAACAGAACAGTAAGAGAAATGCATCTGAGAATTAAAAAATCTAGATCTGGATTTAAATGTTGTGTCTTTGTCACTTGTTTAGAAGTATTCTATTGGTTTGTTATTCCTTAAGGGGTATTATATGTTGTAAGATGTTTTCATCAGCCAAAGATGATTGGTTCTTCTGAACACATCTTCTACATTTAAGCTCTTTCCAAGTAGGTTTTCTGGGATCCATTTCCTAAAAGCAAATGGACTAATTTCATGATGGTATCTGTTTTGTTTTCTTTCCTCTACAGGCTTAAGTGATAACTGGGTATCTTGCTAGCAGAACAGAAATGAATAATTCAACGTACATAAACTCTTCCACTGAAAATGTGATGGCTTTGGTGAGCCCCTATAAAACTGTTGAGGTGGTCTTCATCGTCCTGGTAGCAGGTTCTCTCAGTCTAGTCACCATAATTGGGAATATCCTAGTCATGGTGTCAATCAAAGTCAACAGGCATCTACAGACAGTCAACAACTATTTCTTGTTCAGCTTGGCCTGTGCTGACTTGATCATCGGCATCTTTTCAATGAACCTATACACCCTCTACACTGTGATAGGTTACTGGCCCTTAGGGCCTGTGGTGTGCGACCTCTGGCTGGCCCTTGACTACGTGGTCAGCAATGCCTCTGTAATGAACCTCCTCATTATCAGCTTTGACAGATATTTTTGTGTCACCAAGCCTCTGACGTATCCTGTGAAGCGGACCACTAAGATGGCAGGCATGATGATCGCAGCTGCGTGGGTGCTGTCTTTCATCCTGTGGGCCCCTGCAATTCTCTTCTGGCAGTTCATTGTGGGAGGAAGGACTGTCCCGGATGGGGATTGCTACATCCAGTTTTTTTCTAACGCTGCCGTTACTTTTGGCACTGCCATTGCAGCCTTCTATTTGCCTGTTATCATCATGACTGTACTTTACTGGCAAATCTCTCGAGCTAGTAAGAGTCGGATAAAGAAAGGGAAAAAGGAAGCTGCCCAAAATCAAGATGCTGTTTCTCCCAGCCTTGTCCAAGGCAAAATAGTAAAACCAAACAATAACAACATCCCAACCAGTGGGGATGGGTTGGAACACAGCAAAATTCAGAATGGAAAAACCACTGGGGAGTCTGTGACAGAGAACTGTGTTCAAGGGGAGGAGAAGGAGAGCTCCAATGATTCCACCTCTGTTAGTGTGGTCACCTCCAACGTGAAAGAGGACAAAGCTGCCAAAGATGCCAGCCACGCTTCTGCCTCCCAAGACCATCTCAAAGTGGAAAACTCCAAACTGACATGTATCAGAATAGTCACCAAGTCCCAAAAGGGTGACTGCTGTGCCCCCAACACTACTGTGGAGATTGTAGGTGCCAACAGGGAGGAGAAGCAGAATAGCGTAGCCCGGAAAATTGTCAAGATGACAAAGCAGCCAGCCAAAAAGAAACCACCTCCTTCTAGAGAGAAAAAAGTGACAAGGACAATTTTAGCCATCCTCCTGGCCTTCATTATCACCTGGACCCCATACAACGTGATGGTGCTCATCAACAGCTTCTGCACATCCTGCATACCTGGCACTGTATGGACCATAGGTTATTGGCTCTGTTATATCAACAGCACCATCAACCCTGCTTGTTATGCCCTCTGCAATGCTACTTTCAAGAAGACCTTTAAGCACCTTCTTATGTGTCATTACAAGAATATAGGAGCTACAAGGTAAAAACAATATTAAAAATAATAATGGAAAAGTGGAAGAAATTCCTAATTAAAATTAAAAAAAAATGCCATAGCACTTTATGCTCTTTTACAGAATGTGCAATCCAGTATGTTAGTGGAAATACTGACATAAAGCATCAGCTCCACCCCTGAGAACTACATTTAAACCCATTTTTTAAATAATTGAAAATAAATCTTGAGGACATGGGGATGTTTGAGGAATTATTCAAGTATGTGGACTGGAGGCACAGTTCCTTGCTTTCTGAGAGTATTCTGAAGAAGGGCTCTAGAGTCTACGATTTTTGGTCCTTCTGTGTAAAACACCTGTGAGTTTTTTTTGTTGGTTTGTTTTTTTCTGTCTCTGTTTGGTATGTCTTCATCTAGAAGAAAAAAAAGGAATTTTAAAAATAACTTTTTGGAAGATCATTATATAATCCCAATGAATCATGGTAGAAGGTTTCTAAAGCTCAAAGCTGTCTAAAGCTTTTTGTCACTGTCATGTAAGAAACTTAATGTTAGGTAAATAATGATGAAAGTTATTTTATGTTGTTTATAACGCTACCATTTCCAAAACTGCATCAGTTCTGAAAGTGTACTTATGCTCAACACATAATCATTGCTAACCTGTGTATCATTTGAAGTCTGCCTCTTGCCCCCTTCTAGGGGCTTTTGTTCCGTGATTCCTTCATCATGCAAAGATAAAAATGAAAAAAGTCAGTCTTTTCCAGTTTGCTACATCCCAAGACTATTTCAGCATCCATGTAAACCAAAGCTTTTGGGACAATTTTGTTCACTATGTTTGTTGTATAACATCCACCCATGGACTTGTCTTTAACCTCCATCAGCCTTTTCTTCCTTTTTGTACCTTACTTGTCCAGGGCACAAAGGCTGAATATCAAATGAAGTTGTAAATTCAAAGGTCTCATGCAATCAGCCCCCATGGTAGACAAAGGGCCTCAGCTGAAGAATAGAAACAAGGTTATTGCTAGGAAAACAGAGATTACATCCTTTTAAAGTTGGATGTACAGATGAAGAGGTATGCTGAGGCTCCATGGAATGAATAGTTAATATTAGATGACTGTGTTCTTGACCAGTCAAAAGATGATTTACACTCACTTATTGAGGAAAAGAATGGACTGACATACCTACAGGGATCAAGCTCTGTCTAAGCCCTTAGTGTGGTCCTTCTTAGGTGTATCTTGGACAAGATGTTTCCTTTATGAAAAAAGATATTAGCTACAATGCCTTTTGTGCCAGCTGGGAGCAATATTTTCACTGTAAGCCAAGGGATAACATTAATAAAAAAGGCAGAGAGGAAAGCAGTGATTACACAAAACCAGACACTGTAATAGTCTGGATGGGGAGCTGGCAGGAGTATAGTTCAAATATTATCTGCTACTCCACACTAACTCAAATCCAGATTTTTTTCTGCTTGGCAGATACTATTTCAATATTTGATATTTATTGTAGCACAACTGAGCACTGTGTGGATAGGACAAAGTGAATAACAGCAATTGTTTGCGAGTTATGCATATTCTGGTTACCTCCTTCTTAGTAACTCTAACCTCCAGGCACTAGTGAAGGTACATGTACAGATTTTGTTACCCAAAAAAAGTAGTTTGCTGCATAGACAGTGTCCTGAGAGGCTCTTCTGGAGCGAAAACCACCTACCAAATAGGACACAAAATCATTCTGTTATTTCATGCTACCACATTACAGTCTTCCAAAATGCATTTAAAAATAGCAGCCTTCACAGTTATGGGGAAAATATCTCACAGACCTAAGCTTTACATTTGACAAACTTATTGGAACACAGTGTCAAAGCACTTTGACAATATGACAATTTTCATGTTTCGAAGTACAAATTCCTAGAAGAAAGTGAAAATTAGGAGATTAAAGTTCAGTAAATTAAGACCACATTAAACTCAGTATTAACATGTCTTAATATGCATTAATTGATTTTATACCCCTAGTGATTTCATTCTAAGTATCTAAGTATCTCCATGCAGCCAAGGATCTAATTTTGCACTCGCCTTGAGTCATATTTACTATCACTATTTACATCTTCCTTTTTGTAAGGAAGAATTACTCAATGATAAGGCTTGCAAGACTGAGTGCTGCTTGTCTTTCAAAACTACATTCACTAGCCTTATCTTGACAGGGTAAGGGAAACACTTAAATGATCATTTCTAGATCATTCATTCTCTTACAGTGTTAAAAAATCCAGATAGAAACCAAAGATAAAATGAAATCTATTCATTTTCTAAATTCTCTAGAAAAGTTTTATAAAAGAAACACACCTGCTTCTTTCTTTTAGCAAGTGCTGTGGGTATCAATAGTACAGGTACTCAAACTGGGAAATAATGGCTTGGAAATATTATTCAATCTTTTAACTCCAGTTTTTCAGCAGGTGTGCAAATTCAAAATATAATAAGTAAATAAAACAAAACAAAACCCAAACAAACAGGAAAAGCTTCAGTTTGAAGCTCTGTAGCACTTTTCCATAGCAGCACCCACACTTTTGATCCTAAAGGACAAGATGCTTTGGTGTGTGATATAACATATTATAAAGACTTGCAGGATACAATCCTGCATGTTTCCACCTTGTATCAATTGACTGAAAAAATATTTCCATGGTACATCCACGTTCACAGTCAATTAGTGTAAAAATAGATGACACAATGCACCTATGTGTGTACACACAGGCATGTAAACACACAATTTATATAACTGAAAAACAGTCGTCTAACAGTGTCCGTGTTGTGCTCATTGGCAGCTGGTGGGAGGTGCAGAGCCAGCACTTGCTCATGACACTGTCTACCCCCTCCCAGAGGCAGAGACGAGACAGAGCCTGCCCTGCAATACTCTCTTGGGTCTTCAGCTGGTTGTGGATCAGTAAGACTAAAAGTGTGATAAACTTTCAGAGTCACAAAATAATTTGTTCTTTGGAACATCTTTTGAGCTCTTATGTCTTTCCTTTGTGTCCCAAACCACGTTCACCAGGTTTCACTTCCCTTCTGAGTGATAGTTCTGCAAGAGGTAGATGTGGGTCTTGAAGAGCAGCGCTTCCTGGGTACCTCCTCCGGCTTTCCCAGCTGTCACCTGTGCCCCATCGCCCCCAAGGCCCGAGGTGGTCCTGCTGCTGGCGTTGCCACATCTTCACCTTGGGTTCGGCCAGAGGATCCCAGTGGCATGTCCACACCATGTGCTGCGCTAGCCACTTTCATTTCACATACAAATTGAGCAAACTGTGCAGGTGATTCATGAGGGAAAAAGAAACAAACAACAAAACCTGCAGCTAGCACTTCTTGTCCTGTCTTTTTCTTCCTCTTAATTATGCCCAGAAACAGGCTAAAACTGAAGAGGCACAACCAACCCTTGACAGTAACTTTGCCACCCATGGGGAGTGACTTGTACTGTCACAGGCCAGCCCTACCTTCACTCTCCAGGAAGAAATCAACAGCCTGAATATTTGTCAATCCAGCTGGCACATTTTCTGGGTATTAAAGACATCTGAAGAAAAAGAAAGAAAAAGAAAAAGAAAAAGAAAAAGAAAAAGAAAAAGAAAAAGAAAAAGAAAAAGAAAAAGAAAAAGAAAAAGAAAAA